ACAGCCCAGTTAAACACAATTTAACTAGAATGGCAGCAGAAATAACTTCTGTGCCATGCTACTTGCCTTAAAGTAAACCTTGACGTCTCTGTGTACATTAATCAGTCATCTTTGGGGGCAGAAGCGTCTGTTCAGGTCAGTGATGAACTTCGTGACAGTTTATGACAAACAATTGTCAAAATGATTAAATTTATAACCACACTTCTGTTTCCTTTTGTTGACGGAGGGGGATTCGAAAAAAATTCATTCAACTTTAGTATTACCCGATTTTTTGTTCTTGGCATAGGTAACTTTGAACATAGAAACGTTCGGATATAAAAGCAGCCTCTCTATTGGTCAACTTAATCGCCTTCCAGTTCTCACACGGTTAAAGCCTGGACAATTCTTTTTGCGAATTACGGCACAGTTCGGGACAGGGAACATGTCATTCACGGGAATGGCGCGAATTCTGGGACACCCTGTATTTTGTATGTTTCTCTTAATATACATAGTATTCTTTGAACAACACGATACTCAAAAACATGTTTTTAATTTCTTGTAAAGAAATAAGTATTTTGCAGTTAAGCTCCGCCCCCTGGATTCACGGCGAATAAAAAAAAATCATCACAATTGAGCTAGGGCGGGTGGGCGGGCTTTCATTTTGCCTTTTTGTTTTAATATGTGTGGACTTCTTTTCACGACATGAAACTTAAAATATGTTTAAAATGAAAAATTTGTATAAGGAAATATCGATGATGCAAATAGGCTCCGCCCCATTATTGAAAAATATATATTTCCTTGCAAAAATGTATCACTTTAACCATGTTTTAAGTTTCTTGTTGCAGAAATAAGTCTGCACATATTAAGAAAAAAAGGTAAAATATAAGCCCCGCCCACCCACCCTATCTCAATTCTGATGATTTTTTTTATTCGTCGTTAAACCGAGGAGCGGAGCTTAATTGTAAAATCCTTATTTTTCTACGAGACATTATCAAGTAAAATATGTTCTTAAGTAATCGTGTTATAGAAAGAAAACTAATTAATGTAATATTTAAAAAAGAAAACGAAAAGAGAAGCCCCACCCATCCGTCTCGATCTCATTCGTGATGAATTTTTAATTCGTTGTTAGACCGAGGGGCGGAGCCTATTTGCAAAATCCATATTTCTTTATAAAAATTTACCATTTTAAATGTGTTTTAAGTTTCTAAGAATAAAAAAATCATCACATTTGAGATGGGGTGGGTGGGCGGGGTTTATATTTTGTATTTTTCTCTTAATATACATAGTATTCTTTGAACAACACGATACTCAAAAACATGTCTTTAATTTCTTGTGAAGAAATAAGTATTCTGCAGTCAAGCTCCGCTCCCTTGGTTTACGGCGAATAGAAAAAATCATCACAAATGAGACAGGGTGGGTGGGCGGGCTTTCATTTTACCTTTTTGTTTTAACATGTGTAGACTTCTTTTCACAACATGAGACTTAAAGTATGTTTAAAATGGAAAATTTGCATAAGGAAATATCGATTTTACAATTAGGTTCCGCCCCACTTTTTCCTTGCAAAAATGTATTATTTTAACCATGTTTTAAGTTTGTTGTTGTGAAAAGATGGTTATGTATGTTAAGAAAAAAAGGCAAAATATAAGCCCCGCCCACCCACCCGATCTCAATTCTGATGATTTTTTTTTATTCGTCATTAGCGGAGGAGCGGAGCTTAATTGTAATATCCTTATTTTTCTATAAAATATATATATATTCTTAAGTAATCGTGTCATACAAAGAAAAATAAATGAATTAAAACAAAAAACGAAAATTTACCATTTGAAACATGTTTTGTGAAAACACATCAAGGAAAAATTGGTCAAAAGTTGTTTCGACAGAACTTTCCTCGCTCCAGAAGTACAATGAAACAAACAATGATAAAAATTTATCATGCTTATCATAATTTTAAAACATCTGCAAGATTTCAAATCATTCAGTTGTTCAGATACAAAATTAAATTGCAAAATATTGTTTTATAATTTTGATTTTTTTTTCTCAAAACTTTCAACACGGAGTCATAAACTACGTATGTTTTTTTATACAATTTGAAACCCATTTATTATGTACAATTTTGAAGTGACGTCATCAATTCATCACATTATTGGTGGGAATGATTAGACAAATTTTGCTTAGCGATTTACCATCCACATGATATACTTAATATAAATACAAAATTTGACAACAATCGCCCCAGTACTTTCGTAGATTATCTGTCTAATAAAAAATCGGGACGTCAGACAGACAGACGACGGATAGACAGACGGAACCGGGAGACCTATTTCTTCGTACGCTCGGAAAGTAAAAGTTGGTTATTTCGATAAAATTTCCCTCGTCCCTGAAACATATAGAAGATTAGAATAATAAAATAACTAAAACCCATACTCCAGAATACAGTGAAATGGTTACTGGAATTATATATGTACAAATCAGATATCGGGCAGGGTCCAGGAATAAGTGCGGCGGTCGGGGCAACCTTCTCGTCACGGTTGACGTTGAATTCCGGTTCTTTGCGCTATCCGCTCGTCGTAGAAGGAATTGCCTCATTCAGCGTGACCGTGACTGCAACTCGTACGGGGAAAGATTCAAAATATTCAGATCCCGGAAAATGTTGAAATTAACACTCCCTAAATTTCTGATCACCTGGAATATTTCCCGGATTTGAGAGAATCTAAGTACAAAGTAGAAAGAAAATGAATTTTCGTGTTCATACGTTGAAGCAAACATGTAGAAATCATAAAAGCTGAAAGTCTTAGAAAGTTTGAAAGATGAAGTTTTACGAACGTTTTATATTCGTTTGGTTTGTTTATGGTTGTTCCCGGGCTCACTACCTGTCGTAGTTGTCGCCCGATGGGTCAATTTTCTAGCAATGAGTACTCGCAAATAGAACTCGGTTGCTTTTGATAAAACAATAAGATTGAGAGTACGAAATCGCAGAGTAATTTAAGTATGAAGTAATCGTTTTAAGCAGTGATTTTTAAATCCGCTCTGAAAGAATGATTGCATTATATCGAGGATCAGAAAAAGCTTGGATACTCGACGGTTGACGCCTTTGAAAAATGGTTTAGGGAAAAGCTTATCGCAAAATTAGTACACAAAAGTGCCATTGTAATGGATAATGACAGGGAATTGGTTTTATGGGTTTGGATTTTTTTGGATTCATTAGTGCTGAGGCGCCTGGCAAAATCCATTAATGTAACAATGTAATTAATATATATAACGTGATTTTCTTCGTTGTAATTTAATCACGAAGCTTGTTTGGTTGTAATTGTGATTAAACCATTCCCACATATCAATTATACAAATAGATCTCAATTTCCCACAAAACGTTCGCCCATCCCAATTATTGTCAGGTAATCGAAGCCCAACTAGCGCAGCAAATGCCACGATCGGACAATATTTGTCCCGCAAATTCAAGTGCTCAAGTGTGAAATTAACATGATCAACACGCCGGAATCCACTCTAGTTGTTTTAATCAAAAAAGTGCCACTTCCAGCCTCTCCTCGACCGATAGCTTCGGCTTTAATAAAAGCGATAAGTACGGCAACGCAATTTCCACCAAAAATTAATTAAAACCCCCGGAAATAACTACCTGCGAATTTCTAAATTTTCACCAAAAACGTCATCGAATCGAAGAGGATATTTCCAGCACGTTGTTGTACAAAATGAATTATTTAGGTCGAGAGTGGTGCAAGCCGGCGTATTTCATCCACTATGCAAATAGGGGTCTAACTTGTGTAAGTGGTGATGAAACTTGGAATATTATGAGCATTCGAGTATTATACGGGGGAAACTGACCACTTTGTTGGAGGTTCGTGTTCGGTAAGGTCGTATCCTTCGGTTACTCCAAGCCAGAACAAACTTTTGTTTAAGGAGTTTTAACCGCAGAATGTGCATTATTCATGACCGAAGAGTAATGAGTTTATGCATATTTTAATTATATCTATGCAGCTGAGATAGTTTTGAGAGTGGAAGGAAACGAACTCATTAACTTCCGCAAGAAGTTTGCTTTTTAGGAAAATGCGCCGCTTTGCAAACCAAGATGTTAACGCGTCTTAATTAATTTCTGCATTAAGAATGCAAATACGAGGATGTGTGGTAGTTCGTTATTTTTTGAAAATTTTCTGTTAAATTAAAAGCAGCCTGGTAGCTGAATAAGCAGGGTCGCTCCTGGCCCAAACCAACTACCCTTGCACCCTTTAATTCCGGCAGGCGGCATTAGGTTCAGCCCCGAGCGGCTTAAACGAAAGTCATCTTCGCTCTGCATCCCGAATAAATAAAAATTCTTGCGCTCCCTCTTGTTTAAAACGTCACCGAATAAGAACGACCTTTTTCTGTTTGCTATGCTTTGTGGACGTATAGGGTTTATTGTTATTCGCGACGCGTACATTTTTTAATATTGTGGGCTTTGAAGAAAAAAAATCGAAAAAGGAAGATGACGTGCGGAAGGCTAATACGATGAGAACGCTCATCAGAGCGCCGGTGAAATATTTTCCTTTTTCTCCCGGATGGCCGATTTTCTGCTTGATCAGGAAACGAAATTACTTGGATATCAAAGTCATGAGTAAATTTTAAGAGTTGATGGCATTTCTTAAAAGATGCTCGTCGAACTTCAGACGACACGGAAAGAAAATGACAAAGTGGTGAAAACAATAAGACGAATCTGTCAAATTACTTAAAAGGGGGAATTGGCGATCGATTCCGCGACGGCGTACACAAAAATCGCGCAGAATAACTTGTAATTAGAGCTTTCGCGGAAAATAGGGTCATTAGTTGCGACTTTTCGCCTAGCCGGTGTAATTAACTTGGACATTTTGTATAATTTCTTTTTCTGGGAAAAGGAGGCGTTTAAATAAAAATGTGTGTTACAATAAGGTAACGGCGAAACTTCCTCCTTACGACACGATAAAGAGCGAAGGAACTATTGAAAGGCCGCCCTTTTCAGAACTCATTTTCGTGTCTCATTCTGTTTTCATTTTCAGGGAGGCCTGAAAGCAGCAATTCTTGCCGACGTAATGCAAGGATTAACAATGATCGCAGTGAGCCTCGCAATAATCGTCCAGGGCTGTATCGAAGTGGGCGGCTTCGGGGCCGTATTTGAAAGAAACAAGAACGATGGCCGTCTGGACTTCCTCAAGTAAGTGACAGTTAACACTAATTTAATTCCTAACATCCACACCCATTTACATAAAAAATCCACCTACACCGCGATTTAACTCGAAAAATTAAGTAGTCGTGGCCCAAATCCAAGTTTTATATATTTTTAAATGAAAAAAAAATTAGGCCCTTCAAAAACAAGACAATACATCCTTGAGATTGTTTCAAACTACTTCAAAAACAAAACACAACGGATCCCCGAGATTATGTCAAATTACTTCAGAAACAAGGCCCACAGGAGGTCCCCGAGATTCTTTCAAACTACTTCAAAAACCAGACACAAGGGGTTCCCGAGAGTCTTTCAAATTACTTCAAAAACAAGACCCACAGTAGATCTCTGAGATTCTGTCGAACTACTTCCAAAACGAAACACAAGAAGTCCCGAGATTCTTTCAAATTACTTCAGAAACAAGACCCAGAGGAGATTTTTTCAAAGTACTTCAAAAACAAGACACAAGGGTCCCCTGAAATACTACCAAACTGCTTCAAAATTAAAACACAAGGGGTCCCCGAGAATCTATTAAACTGCTTCAAAAATAAAACATAAGGGATCCCCGAGATTCTTTTAAATTATTTCAGAAACAAGACACAAGGGGTCCCCGAGATTTTATCAAGTTACTTAAAAAAAACACACAAGGGGTCCCCGAGATTCTAATAAACTGCTTCAAAAATAAAACAAGGATTTCCCGAGATTCTTTCAAATTACTTCAGAAACAAAACCCACAAGAGGTCCCCAAGATTCTTTCAAAATACTTCAAAAACAAGACACAAGGGATCCCCGAGATTCTATCAGACTATTTAAACAAAATTGGTCGAAGGTATTTCAACAGAACTTTCCTCGCCCCTGAAGTGCAGCCAAATAAATCTCACTTTTCTGAAAAATTATCATTTTTTTGCAATTTTTGTTTTCTGATAACCTCTATAAAATAAAAACCAGTCGCGTAAATAACGTTCCAGTTTATTTGATGTGAATTCTTGATTTGAAGTTTAAATTTAATTTTCAAAAAAGTTTCAACTTTTCGATTCAATTTCTAGATTTTGCAATTTTTCGATTTTTCATTTTTCAATTTTTCGTTTCGTCAGTTTTGCGATTTGCAATTTATCAATTTTTGTTTTTTTTTTTGTTTAATTTTACGATATCTCTTCGAGTTTTTATTTTTAAATTTTCCAGTTCTCCGATTTTCCAAATTTTGAACGTTTCAATTTTTAGATTTTGCAGTTTTCCGATTTGAAATTTCACGAATTTTCAATTTTTAATTTTTCTATTTTTACATTTCTTCAGTTTTTCGAGAAAAACGAGAAAGTACAAGTTATTCCACGTGACTTAAATTAGGAGTACAGTCCAAAATTATTGAATAATAAATTGACTTTATGTTTTTTATTATAATATCTTTTGTTCTTTGTGGCAAAAAATTGTTGAAAGAAAACTATGTAGGTATATAACGAAAAAAAAACAATTATTAACCACCATCCACCCGCCCCGATCTCAATTGTGATGAGTTTTTCATTCCTAATCAGACGAGGGGTAGAATTTAATTGTAAAATATTATTTTTCTAGAAAATTCTACCCCTTTAGAAACATATTTCATATGGTAATTTCTTGTAGAAAAATGAGGATTTTATAACTAAACTCCGCCCTTCAGCTCACGATGAATAAAGCATTCATCACAACTGAGAAGGGGTGGGTGGGTGGGGCTTATATTTGGTCCATTTTCTTCTTAATATACGAAGGCTTCTTTTCCCAATAAGAGACTGACAATATGTTGAAGTATCCTGTTGAAAGAAAACTCTATACTTATATTAAAAAAAAAAATTAGGCCCCACCTACCCACCCCGATCTCAATTGTGATGAGTTTTTCATTCCTAATCAAACCGGGGGGAGTTTAATTATAACATCAATATTTCTCTAAAAAAAATCTACCCTTTTACCCTTTTAAAAATATATTTCATATGGTAATTTCTTGTAGAGAAATGACGATTTTGCAACTAACTCCGCCCTTCAACTCACCATGAATAAAGCATTCATCACAATTGAGAAGGGGTGGGTGGGCGGGGCTTATATTTTGTCCATTTTTTCTTAATATACGAAGTCTTCTTTTCCCAACAAGAAACTGAAAAATGTTTAACTATCCTGTTGTTCCAAGAAAATTGTATATATTAAGAAAAAACAAAGATTAAAATCACGCCCACCCGCCCCGACCTTAATTGTTTCATTAGTTGTTAGACCGAGGAGTCCCCAAACTTCTTTCAAATTATTTCATACCTAAAACCCACAGGAGGTCCACAGGATTCTTTTAAACTACTTCAAAAACAAGGCACAAAGGGTACCCGAGATTTTATCAAACTGCTCCAAAATAGAACATAAGGAATATCCAAGATTCTTTCGAATTAATTCAGAAACAAAGCCCACAGGAATCTCTGAGATTTTTTTTAACCTGCTTCAAAAACCAGACCCAAGGGGTCCCCGAGATTATTTCAAACTACTTCAAAAATAAGACCCGCAGTAGCTATCCGAGATTCTATCAAATTACTTCAAAAACAAAACACAAGGGGTGTCCGAGATTCATTCAGATTACTTCAGAAACAAAACCCACAAGAGGTCCCCAAAATTCTTTCAAAATACTTCAAAAACAAGACACAAGGGATCCTCGAGATTATATCAAACTACATAAAAATAACTTTCTAGCTTATTTGACTTGCATTTTTTTTTCAATTTTTAATTTTTTTGTTCCTTCATTTTTTCGAGTTTTGAAGATTAAATTTAATTTTTCAATTCTTCAACTTTTCAATTTAGTCTCTAGATTTTGCAATTTTTCGATTTGATTTTTTCGAGTTTTCAATTTTTAATTTTTCCATTTGTAATTTTTCGTTTCAGTTTTTTAATTTCTTTATTTTTACAATTTTTCAATTTTTCAATGTTCCGATTTTATAATTTTTTGATTTGAGATTAAGCCCCACCCACCCGCCCGATCTCAATTGTGATGAGGTTTTCATTCCTAATCAGAGGAGGGGTGGAATTTTATTGTAACATATTATTTCTCTAAAAAAGTCTACCCTTTTAGAAACATATTTCATATGGTATTTTCTTGTACAGAAATGAGGATTTTGCAAATAAACTCCGCCCTTCAGTGCACGAAGCATTCATCACAATTGAGATAGGGTGGGTGGGCGGGGCTTATACTTGGTCCATTTTTTTTATATACGAAGTCTTTTTTTCCCAACAAGAAACTGACAATATGTTTAACTATCCTGTTGTTGAAAGAAAACTCTATATATTAAAAAAAAAACAAAAATTAAGCCCCACCCACCCGCCCTGATCTCAATTGTGATGAGTTTTTCATTCATAATCAGACCGGAGGGCGGAGTTTAATTATTGTAACATTAACATTTCTTTCAAAAATTCTACCCTTTTAAAAATATATTTCATGTGGTAATTTCTCGTAGAAAATGAGGATTTTGCAGCTAAATTCCGCCGTTCAGCTCACGATGAATAAAGCATTCATCACAATTGAGAAGGGGTGGGTGGGCGGGGCCTATATTTTATCCGTTTTTTCTTAATATACGAAGTCTTCTTTTCCAAACAAGAAACTGAAAACATGTTTAACTATCCCGTTGTTGCAAGAAAGTTCTATATATTAAAAAAAAATCTCAATTGTGATGAATTTTTCATTCGTTGTTAGACCGAGGGAGGGGTGGAGCATCCCCGAATTTCTTTCAAATTACTTCATACATAAAACCCACAGGAGCTCCCGAGAATTCTTTTAAACTACTTCAAAAACAAGACACAAGGGGTCCCCGAGATTTTATCAAATTGCTTCAAAAATAAAACACAAGGGGTCCCCGAGATTCTTTCAAATTACTTCAGAAATAAGACCCACAAGAGGTCGCCAAGATTCTTTCAAACTACTTAAAAAACCAGACACAAGGATTCCCCAAGATTCTTTCAAATTACTTCAAAAGCAAGACCAAGAGTAGGTCTCTGAGATTCTTTCAAACTACTTCAAATACAAAACACAAGAAGTCCCTGAGATTCTTTCAAATTACTTCAGAAATAAGACCCACAAGAGGTCTCCAAGATTCTTTCAAACTACTTCAAAAACAGGACACAATGGTTCCCCAAGATTCTATCAAACTGTTTCAAAAATAAAACACAAGAGGTCCCTGAGATTCTTTCAAATTACTTCAAAAATAAGACTCATAGTAGGTCTCCGAGATTCTATCAAACTACTTCAAAAACCAGACACAAGAGGTCCCCAAGATTCTTTCAAATTACTTCAAAAATAAGACCCACAGGAGGTCCACGAGATTCTTTCAAATTATTTCAATAACAAGACCCACAGCAGGTTTCCGAGATTCTATCAAACTACTTCAAAAACAAAACACAAGGGGTTCCCGAGCGTTTCTATTTGAACTGATTCAAAAATAAAACACAAGAGGTCCCCGAGATTCTTTCAAATTACTTCAGAATCATAACTCCACAAGAGGTCCCCGAGATTCCTTCAAATTACTTCAGAAACAAAGCCCACATGAATCCCCGAGATTTTTGCAACCTGCTTCAAAAACGAGACACAAGGGGTCGCCGAGTTTATTTCAAACTAGTTCAAAAACAAGACCCGTAGTAGATCTCCGAGATTCTATCAAATTACTTCAAAAACAAAACACAAGAGGTTCCCGAGATTCTTTCAAATTACTTCAGAAATAAGACCCACAAGAGGTCTCCAAGATTCTTTCAAACTACTTCATAAACAAGACACAATGGTTCCCCGAGACTCTATCAAACTGCTTCAAAAATAAAACACAAGAGGGCCCTGAGATTCTTTCAAATTGCTTCAACAATAAGACCCACAGTAGGTCTCCGAGATTCTATCAAACTACTTCAAAAACAAAACACAAGGGGTTCTCGAGATTCTTTCAAATTAGTTCAAAAACAAAACACAAGAAGTCCCTGATGTTTCTCAAACTACTTTAAATAGAAAACACAAGGGGTCCCCGAGATTCTTACAAACCACTTCAAAAACAAAACAAAATGGATCTCTGAGATTCTATCAAACTGCTTCAAAAGCAAAACACGAGTGGTCTTCGAGATTCTTTCAAAGTTCTTCAAAAACCACATACGTTGAGTAGAGACGGTTCAAGAAATCGAGAATTTTCCAAAGGCGCCAGTAGTCAAAGCAGCGTGTTCGAATCCAAATTTTATATATATTTTAAATGAAGTAAAATTTCGGTCTTTCAGTCACCTGTCTGAATTTTTCTTGCGTTGGTTCACCAGATCGCATCCACATGTGCTTGCAAGGATGAATTAAATATTTACTGTATAAAATTTTTCCCATATCATAAAGTTATAAATTAACAAACAAAGAACAATTTTATTATCAATAAACAGTAGATATGAACAATAATCTGTATACAAGTAATCATTATTATTTAAAAAACACCAATTCAGGATAAGACGTTTACGGCTGGTACGATTTATTCGTGTTAAGAGCCGCTACACCCAAGGGATGTCCGCCCGATCGTGCCTCCCTTGGTCCCACAGATCGAAGCTAAATTTAACTCCCATGGCGTATTATTTTGAAACAAAATTATTAAAACTACTACGGATCTGAGAAATATTGTCTCGCATGATCTTCCTACGTGACAAACATGTAACATTAAAATATCTTGATGCGGGTATTAACAATCCTTTTTTGACGATTAAAAACATCCGAAGGAAATAATTCTTACATAATACACCTTAATAGTCGTTTTATTGCAAGAAATGTGTTTATAATTGAAAACATTTGAAAACATGATTTTTGCTTTGTAATAGCTACTAGTAATACTACCTCAAGGGTATTATTATTATTTCCCATCAAATAGGTGGACGTGTTTTCTAAACAAAAATACACAGCACTTCCTCTATCTCGTCTATTGTTTATAAAAACATATAATTGTTTAATAATGTCGCCAGTCGGAAGAATAAATTAAGATAAAACGTCCGTACGCCTACGAGACACACATAAAAAGAAATTATGACGTCCAGATAAAACAGTGACCTTGGAATTAATGCGGAAAGGAGTTTACTTCGCTTCAAGAATTACAAGAAATTCGTAATTTATTACATAAACATTGCTCTGATTGCATCTGACGCAACTCGTCTGGTAAATTCATGAAAATTAAAATAGTTGCAATATCGAGAGGTTCGAATTCCATCAAGTGAGCACCTGGAAAGCTACGTGAAACCTATTTGCAAAACTGTTATGTATTCTGTAACAAGAAACAGCGAAAGTTTAAATTCTATACACGTTTATGTCTGGGAACAATCATGCCGCGATGCTAGGTGAAGTTAGAAATCGGTTGGTAAAAACTAAAAGGTCAAGATCAGTCTGGTAACTTTAACGCAGCTGTTGGTAGCCTACTAGAATGCATAACCTCACTTCTCGCTGCGACAGGTGTCCCAGCGCCGCTCTTTCCCAAGAAACCACTCCAACCGCCACCATAAATCCCCTCGAAGCTTTTTTCTTGTTTCGCCGTCGCCGATTCCTGTTAGGTCTCTGTTAATTCGCGCAATTATTTTCGTCCTGCTAATGAATTTCAGAAGCTCGGTTATTAATAATCCGAATGTTCCCTTCGTCGGGTGCAGCCGAGGTTTCCGTTTTCTTTTTGCTCTTAATGATGAATAAATTATGGCAGCCGTGTACCAAGGAATTTTCGATTTAAGGCAAATTGCTCCGCGAAACAAATGGCGCACTGCACATTTTAAACAGAAAATTATCGTCGAAACTCGGCGCGGGAACGTCGAGTGTAAAACGCTCGAAGAACATAATAATTTTCCTTAATTTATCGTCACAAACATCACCAACTGGGCGGTACAATATTATTTTAATCCGTTATTGAAATGCGTCTTCATTAAACTCGCCGTCAACTTTTCGCCAAACTTTATAATAAAGGCACGGAGCTGTAACTCGGTCGTACTTTAAAAACTCCCAGACCAAGAGATAAATTAAAATAATTAAATCGGAGATGCTCGGATTTGCTACAAGAGCCATCCCGCTTCATTTGGCCAACTGAGTGCAGACCCACTTAGCCACACTTTTTTTATCCAACTCCATCTCTTCGGTAAACACAGTATACCACGGTTTTCACGTGTTATTATACAATTTAAACACCCGATTGTCGTTTTCAGCTTCAACATGGACCCCACGATTCGCGTGACCACGACGTCGGCCCTCGTGGGTCAGCTCTTCATGTCCCTGTCGATATTCGGTTGTCAGCAGAACTTCGTGCAGCGCTACTGCAGCATGGACTCTCAGAAGAAAGTGACAAAGTAAAACAAACCCTTATTTCTCTACCCAAATAAACGAGTTTCTCTTCTAGGACTCTCATGTACAATATACCCGTAATCACGGTCCTGTTCAGCTTATCCTGGGTCGTCGGAATGGTCGTTTATGCCACGTATGCCACGTGCGATCCTTATAGCTCCGGCTATATAGAAAAATTCGACGAAGTACTCCCGTTCTTTGTCGAAGATCGCTTCAACTACTTACCGGGTATACTCGGTTTATTTATGGCCTCGCTTTTCAACGGAGCGCTGAGGTAAGTCAGATTTTTTAAGAAGATTCTTAGAATGTGACGGACGTGGCTGAGACGTGCGTGAGCGGTTAGCGTTGTGCGGAATGGCAAATTTGAACGATTATAGTCTCATGGGGGGTTGCATAACCGTCCAGGCGCACGCAAATTGACTACTTATTTTTAGTGATTGTTAATTAAGTTACACGATTTTTTCAGCTTGAACGTGTCTAATTTGAATTCTTTGGCCACCGTCGCTTTCGAGGACTTCCTCAAGCCCCTGCCGTGCCTAAAGGGAATGACGGACAAGCAGCAACTCAACACCATCAAAGGAATCGGAGTTCTCCTCGGACTCGTTATCATGGGAATCAGTTTCGGAGTGGGTCTCTTAGACGGCGTTATCGAATCATCTATGCTGGTCACCTCCGCCACTTCGGGCCCTCTCCTAGGAGTCTTTATAATGGCCCTGTTGATACCTTGCGCCAACTGGAAGGTAAGCCCTTTATCTGCCCTACAAAGACCTAAATGGACTGCGCGCAAAGCAGCGGATATAAAAAGTTCCGCGAAAATTTTGTTTACATTTTTGCTTTTTAAAAAGAATAATAATGACAATAATTATGTGATATCCTATCGTAATTAGACGTAACGATGTATACATACCGTACACGAAACTGATAAAAGAAATTCAATGTTGTTCGTTATCTTTTTACTTTGGACTTTGAAAGGGCCTAGAAACAATGTTGACCTCTTTCTGTTTCGCGAATGTTTTTTTCCTTTGGTTCGCTTCTGCAATTTCCAGAGCGCTCTAGCCACTGCTCCGTGTCATATTGGTTCTGCAAGGGTTTCACAAGCACTATATTATCTTTTATTACCTTTGAGATGAAAAATAGGTGACGAAGAACTTTACACAAATAACGCAGGTCCTGAATAATGTAAATGGAAACCCCATCTGGAGAACAAAAAATATTATCCAACCGTTGTTGCGGCATATTAAGAGTGCACCTCACGAAATAGCACGTGCTTCTATCTCACTATAAGTTGGCACCACTGTTTAGGAAATATGTATATTTAATTATGCAAAGCCGCTTCGAAATACGCTAACTGTGTCAATACGCTTCAACTTTTTCGGAAAACTTCATTGCATACGTTATTCACCTTTATATGTCAGCCATCGTTTCGTCGCCGAAGGCAGGGTTGGAATAACCGTCAGGAGCAGCTCTTAAGTTCTCTCTGTTAACATCGATTCGAGATTATGTAAGGGGTTTCGATTGTCCCCAGAATTATTAATTGCGAATGTCCCGAAACCATGTTCGCCTCCGTTTCGTGAACACGCTAATTTGATTGATAAATTTGGAATTGGATTGATCGCGCCTTTATGCCAAAATCGCTCGTGCAATTAGGAAGTTCGTTATACGGGGGCAAAATTCACTAATGTGTATTCGGCCTATGTCGCCGCCGGAGGGTGCTACGAGGACGGAATAATTTATAAAATTATAAATAATAGAAATAGGCCGTGACGTAATGACTACGTGAATTTAGATAGGTGTGGGAGAGGAATGCGAGGATGGACTGGCGAAAACTGAAAGGGAGCTATTGGTTATAGAGTGTGGACCACCGTGGACACGAAATGACAGATGCAATATCAAAATAATTTAAGCTATGCTTTTAGTCGCTCAATTAAAAAAAAATGGAAACAGACCTAAGACTAACGTTGTAAAATGTCATAAAATGCAATATTTAGTGTGACTACGAGCCATGTGCCACGTCCCATTTATATCTAATGGCGGTTCTTTTACTCCGTTTTCAATGAACGGCGTCGTAAAACGGAAGAGCAATAAAACGCGCGAGTAAAGAAGCCAATAAGAGTAGTAATTCAAATTAAAAATGAATTTTTGTGTATCCTAAAGAACCATCGACAGGTTATTGGTAATAAATAGTCCCTTTGTGGATCTTAAATCGCCGCCGTAAAATCGACGTCATATCATCCCAACACCCCAAAGTCTTAGAAACCGCGTGAATAAATAAACAGTAAAGCCATAACCCCAGCTCCCGTCGTGAAGTCCAAAACCTAATAAAACTTTTTTCGGCGCGTCGTCAGCCCGCCATATCTCGAAAAAAACTTCCAGATTAAAATAAAACGTCAGCGTGATGTATGATAAAATTAGTTCGGAATTCCTCCGCCGTGCAAGTGAAAGTTGATATTTCCCTCCATAAATTTATAATAAATAGGGCAGATCGCGTCCGGAACAGCAGCGAATTTTCAAAAGTTTTACGATAGGTCAGTATTTCATAATCACGAATCATAAATCGCTTTTATAACTGAACCGTGTTGCAGCGTTATAAAATATTTTAAATGCGATATTAAATCTGCCGGCTAGCCATAAAACCCGACATCAAAATCAACAAAACTTTTGTTCTAGGGAGCCTCGACCGGCGTCATCGCTGGACATCTAGTTACTTTATGGATAACCTTCGGGAGATTAACCATCGAAAAACCACCGACCCCGCATTTACCCTTATCAACCGAGGGCTGTACAAACACGTCCTTCAACGATCACATTTTAAAACCCGAACACCAAACATCCTTCTGGACGATCACCACCACAACCCCCGCATCTATTAATTATACGGGCAACTTCTCCAGCGACATCATCAACACGACACGAGCGGCGCCCTCGTAAGTAGAAAAAAAGTTGCATGCAATAGGCAGCAAAAGTATTACGAGTTGCATATGTGCAACGCAACGAGAAAGCTTTGAGTTTTAAAATAACAACCATGTTCTTTGCAGAGACCCTCTCACCCAGTTGTACTCAATCACCTACATGTACTACTCACTCATAGGCTGCTTCATCTCGATCCTCGTCGGCTGGACCGTTTCCTACTTCACTGGTAGCGAAAGAGACCTGTACGACGAAGAACTCATTCATCCTATTGCCCGCAAGATGGCCGACTTTTTCCCGGGAAAAAAGCGCCGCTACGAGGAGAAAACTCTCAACAAAATGCCGAGGAACGGGTCGATGATTCCTTCAGCCAGTGTGACAAACATGGAACGAAAATGTGGGAGTACGAATCTTGCCTTCACCCAGGATGTGCCCTTGGAACAAATGGAAGTGTACAGAACCAAATTATGATCTAGAGATTGATGGACTCATTTTTAGTGCCTTAGCTAGGCTGCATCTGTGATCTCTAGCTGATAGGTTTTTACGATGCGTGTTCTTTGTTTCTTAAAGAAACACTAGACTACTTAACTATTTTTTGATACATTTATTGTTGGAATTGATATTATATATGTACTCTGAGTAGTCTGTAATGTATTTATGACGTTCTTAGATATAATTTAGCGTGTGTAAGCCAGTAATGAGTATTTATTTGCATAGTTATAGTTAGAAAGCGACGGAACTGACGATCAGCTCCGTTACAACATGTAAGTTAGAATAGTGAAGTACTTACAAAGGAATTGAAACGAATTAGTTGCGTACGAACTGACGTAGCTCAAAATACAATTTTTACTGATTTAATCATGTTGTTTTTATTTATTGCCCCCTTCTCGTACATTACCGACTGCGACACCATAGCCACTTCCTCGCGCCTGCGTCGCCTGTCATTCCACAACTGTCACTTTTAAACAATTTTTACGTACTGTTTTAGGTTATGCCGGTTGTTCGTTTGTTGTTGAATTCGCTCAAAATCGTTTAAAAAAATGGACAACGACTTAGAACGCTCTGTCCGACTTCTCGAAGATGCGTTACAGACTCCCACCAAGGGTCTCTTCAAGCCCTCAGCGCTAACCCCACGACGAGAAGCCATCTCCAATTTATCAGTGAGCATGGCCCCCTCGGAGCTCCGCAGAGTCCTCGAATCCGAAAACACTTTATTTGCGGACACAATGGCGTTGATGTTGCACGACGATAAAACCATCGCTGGCTCGGTGATTCAAGGGGGTACTCCATGGAAGAACACAGTGGACAATTTATACACAGAGTTCGCTAATATTTTGCAGTCGTGTTCTGAGGAGTCTGAAATTTTGGAAGTCGCTAAAGAGTTGGCTAGGTGTTGTTCGGACGCTTTAGCGGTAATCCAGTCTTTGAAGTCACAGGTGGCTGTAGGTGAACTGCCGGAGGAGAAATGGTTGGAAAACGAACGCAACAATTGGAGGTTGTTGTATGTGTTGTATAATGACAGAATGCATGCTAAAGATAGCAATAATGAAGATCACATGATTGATTTTGGTAGCAGTGAGAAAACGTGCATTAGTGAGTTATTTAGGCGGGAAAATTTGATCAGAGAGAGTCAATTGGTGATTGATTGGCTTGAACAAAACGCGTTAGATAGGGATGACCCTATATTGCACCACTCAGACTGGACATACGGATGGGAGCACACTTTACACCAGCTAATCACGCCAGATTCCATTGCTATAGGCAGCACTGTGGATATAGTGAAAAGTATACACCCAGACGCACCCCATTCCCAAGGGTTGTCACTCCACCACTTAGATAGTGAAAATGACAAAAAGTTGTGTCAGAGGGTTTTTATGGAGATTCGGTGCGGTAATTTAGAAAAAGCCCAAGAAGTAAGTTTATGACTCACTTTGTAGCTAAGTAATATTGAATTCTTGTTTCAGTTGTGTTCTTCTTGTGGGCATCCATGGAGAGCCGCCATGCTTGAAGGTTGGAAACTTTACCATAACCCAAATATAGTACAAAATTCTGAAGAGGTAATGGATGATGGCTTGAACCACTATAAAGATGTTGAGGGTAATAGTAATAGGGATTTGTGGAAATCCTGTGCCATCAATTTTTGTAAAGCCGTATGTGTGTTAACTATGATAATAAAAAGCGCGCGAAATGTTTAATTTTAGTCACATCTTAATATTTATGAAAAGGCGGCTGTGGCGAGTTTGTGTGGGAATTTGGAGGGGATTCTTCCAGTGTGTACAACCTGGGAAGATTATTTATGGGCTTATATGAGAACTATGGTTGATATTAGAGTGGAATCTGAAATCAGAGACAATATTATGAAGAATTACAAGCCTTTGCCTGAAGAATACTGGGAGCAGAAGTTTGTACTAATCTATGTTTTGTAATTATTTGACTTTTTGTTTTAGACTTTCCTTGAGTCAAGTCTTTAATATTTTGGAAACTTCTAAAAATTTGACGGTTTTCACTGAAGCAAAACAGACTGATCATATCATTCAGAAACACATTATTTTGGACGAAATTCCAAAATTGATTAGTCTGTTAGAGGCACGGTCTGAAGAACCCACTGTTTCAACTCACTGGATGAGGTTTTTTGCTCATTTGGTTCTATTTTTTGATAGCGTGGGCGATTTTACAAACAGGAAGGTTTCAGAAAAGATTGTGGAAACGTAAGAATTTTTAATTAGCAGGTTTGCTATTTGATGCGTATTTTGTGTTTTTCTTATTAATCACTTTTTTTAACACAAAAATCTTGCACGAGAAAAATGTCACCAAAAAAACTTCTCTAATAGGCCATGCAATTTACTTTTGAAATAATAATGTTGGCAACACCAACGCGGTCCTTGCCAATTTGACAGTTACCGGCAAATAACTGTCAAATGAAGGGTCAGACAGGCGCAATACCAACATCAACAGACAAAATACTGTAATGAAATTTCAAAGGTTGTTACTAAAAATGGCTGCGAAATGCCCTTTCAAAATTCACTTTAATGTCATTTCGCTAACCAGTTCCCCGGAGTTTATAGTTAATTTAGAAAATTTCATGGTCACGAACTAAAGAAGTTAATTATTGATTATGATGTGAAGTGGGCGTTGGAAAAGTTTAGTGACAATTCATTCTAAAAGGGTATTTCACACTAATAAAATATTACTCTTCAGCACTAATTGTGGAATATGTAATAAGTAATAACTATGCTCATAAGACTGAGAAATGAACATTATTTAATACGTTTTATCATGATAAAACATTACTTTGAAAATCCTTCCTTGTTAGTTTTGATACTTGGATTTAGCGATTTCGCCACTTTTTTTACGCCAAATCACGTGTTTAAAAGCGACATTGTTGTTGAACTTTCTTTTCGCATATTTGGGTTACATTTCGTTTTAATGTTTTTTTTTATATGTTATATTAAATTGTGTTAATCTTGTGATGTGACGTGAAACTTCGTTTTACGTTTCTACTGCAACCTAAAATTTCTCTTAAATGACATGAGAGGTGAGAGTTGCAAATTTTGTAGGTGGCGTTGCGGACTAAAATAGTATGCGTTTTATATCTACATTGTGTTTGTGTGCTTATATATTTTTGGAGATGCTTTGATTTACAATTTTGTGCCCTAGTAAGTTGATACCTTACGGTTTACTAAATTATTATTTTTCTGTTTTCAATTTTTGAGTAGGATTATTTAAGCCCCTTAGTTACAGGCAACACCTTAAACAATATATATTTTTTTAATACTACGGCCTTAAATAATTTTGGCCATAAATCATATTGTCATGATGCGTGTTTTGTAGGTGCTACTTTTTCTTTTAGCTGTGTGATTAAAATTTTATATTTAAAAATATTTAGGTTTGCGCACAGTGGCAATGAAAGAAATAATAGAACAAAGAACGAAATGATCCTTGACTTGTTTTGATAAAAAATATCTTTTGTTTTTAAGATTAGTGATAGTACCATAATATACCGGGTGTCTGGAAAATGGCGGATTAACTCTTCGCTATGCTCTTAACAAGCAACTGTGAGCCTGGGAAAAATAGTAAAAAAAATTCTTCTCACGTTTTGGTGGAGTTATAATAATTTTAAAATTGGTTCTTTGCTGCTAGATGAACTTGAAAAAATCTTTTGACCTTTTAATGTTTTATTTTTTATTTGAAAAAGTCTTGAGTGCCGCAGTGTTTTTTTTTTTTAATTCGGTGTATTATTTTGGGAGCCCATGGAGATTTTTTTGTAAATTATTTAAAACTATTTTGGAAAATTCTGACTTGACCTATTTTTGAGTTAATTTTGGGACCCCGTTTTTTTTTCTAGATATTCCTAAGTTTGCTAATTTTTTGGAGGGGAAGCTTGATTTAAGTATACAGTGTTTTGAGCACTATACACTAAAATTATATTTAACTATACAGAGTGTTCTATTTTCAAGGTGTAACACACAACTTGTTTTTTTTTTTTTTTAAGTGAAACGCCCAATATATTGTTAGTACTTTGATTGACTTTTTCTTGAGCTTTACAGTCACAGTTTTTTTTTGGAATTCTGATGCAACATTGCCACGTTATTCCAATTTTCTTGAAATTTTTTAGTACTGGCAGGTTCGAGAAAAAATGTCAGGGGAGTTCATTTTAAAATCTGTGTTACAGGATTTTGTGGAGAGACAAAGTTTGTTGTGATATAAACAAAATAAAAGTTTCATATACGTAGTGTATATAAAAGAAAATAATTAGGACTCACCCTGTATTTAATAATAAAAAATTTCAAGGAAATTGTAATAATGTGGCAACATCGCATCAGAATTTCAAAAATACAGTACGGTTTTAACGCCATGAAAGATGATTCCAATGATAGTGTGTAAAAATATATAAAATGTTCTATTTAAAAAAATTAAGTCAAATACAAAACACTCGGTACAGGTAGTTGAAAATGTTTATGGTCTCTGGTGCTTACATCATCACACAACTAGCTTCAGATTTTTTTAATTTCAATAAAAAAAAAACTAGAAATAAGATTTCATAAAAGTTACATTTTTAAAACAAAAATACGTGTTAAGAATTAAATTTTGAAGTACACAAAAACAAAACACAAAAATTAGAACCGTTTTAGTTTTGGCAATGGAGCTACAATTTTTTTTAAGAACCTCTAGTTTATGACTTTTACATTTAAATGCAGCTGAAAAGTAGACGATTAAACCCTTTATAACACACAGATTATAGTGTAACCACAACTTCGAAAAATAACTACGTCATAAAAACTGATTAAATTATGATGCTTGACAGACTAAGTTAAAATATTGGTTAAAACAATACACAAAATTCAGACTTATAGTTCCGGTTCTGAAAAAGTGCAGAAGTCATTTAATCAAGCCCGAACTATATAAAAGCCCGTCCATTCGTAAGCTTACCGCTTCCACATTATCGTGTTTTTTTTCAAAACTTTCAAAAACAAAAAGGGCGGGTGGGTGGGGCTAGTACCTACTAGAAGAAGACCGATTTTGGTAGATCTGCCTTATCTTACCAGGTACTAGCCCCGCCTACCCACTGGCCTCTCTTTTCTTAGAGGATATGTCATTTGCCAAAATCAGTTTTATCTACAGGTGCTAGCGCCGCCCACCCACCCTCTGTTTTGTTAGAGGGTTTGTCATTCGCCAAAATCAGTTTTACCGTAGTGGGTATCTCATTTGCTAAAATCACTCTTATCTTAGCAGGTACTAGCCCCGCCCGCCCACCCTCTCTTTTTTTGGAGGATATGTGATTTGCCAAAATCAGTTTTATCTTAGCAGGTTCTAGCCCCGCCCGCCCGCCCTCTCTTCTCTTAGAGGGTACCTCATTTGCTAAAATCAATCTTACCTTGGCAACTACTAGCCCCACCCACCCACCCTTTCTTCTCTTAGAGGGTATGTCATCTGCCAAAATTAGTTTTATCTTAGTACCGATGACTAAGTTTTACAAAAAATGATCAAAATTTATTTATTAATGAAAAGTAACAGCTTGTTTTATTAATAATCATGCAAAACGATTAATGACTTCTGGTTGTTATGGTTATTGTCCTAAAAAAAATAAAATGTGGATTTCAGTCACCATCGTTACTAAGAAATCCGAAAGTAAGCCGGAGGTATTTATGCATTAAGTGCGTGCAGTGTTGCCGTTTTTTTTTTCGTAGTTTACATCATAAAGAATTTTTTTAATTATTTTTTAAGCGCAAAATTCGACCACTGGACAAAGTAAAATTCAATCTTTATCAGATAAAAAAAAAATAAATTCAAAAGAGAGGTGGGTGGGGTTAGTTTTTCCTTTTGTCTACACTCAACCGTGTATCAATGTAAATGCCACTTTTTGTCCAATAAAATGAGTGATTAGAACCATAACCGGGTGGGTGGGCGGTGCCACTTTGAAGTTTTATAAGCATAGATTTGGCCACTTGATAAACTTTGAAGTTTTTTAATTAGATTCGACCACTTGCCATGGAATTCAATTTTCATCTCCCAATAAATAAAATAAGCCAATGAAATGCAGACGCCGGTGGGTCGGATTAATTCTACCTTTTAGTCCATTTTAGTATTGTTTGCCAATATAAAATCCACTTTTCGTCTCACAGCCAACAAAATGAGTAAATAATTCCATTGGTTCTTAATTAGAGACCAATGTCATCTCGGCAAACATGACATTCTAGAAACAGGTAACCGTAAAATTTAGAATTAGAATTTACAGAAAATTTTAATGTTTTAAGAGCTTGAAAAATATAATTAAAGTTATTTTACCGAAAACGTCCAGATTTAAGCAAAAAGACTTTCAAAAGAGAAATAAATACCTAATATAAAAGTTATAAATTCAGAATAATTAAACTTAGTGTCAACACAATAAAATATTAATTCAAAATTTTGGGAACAATTATTTTGAATGAGAAAATTAAAGTCTTGAGATCAGATCAGTTTTGGCTAAAAATAAGAACTAAATAAAACAGGAAAAATGTCGGGTCAGGTCAAATTAAAATCTACTTTTTGTCCAATAAAATGATCAGAAAAAAAACCGGGTGGATGGGCGGGGCTACTCTCATTTTTTTGGTACTGAAGAGTCAATCCGCCATTTTCCAGACACCCGGTATAGAGAAGACAGTATTCCATAAAATGGCGTTTCAACCTTGTATTTCCTCTCTATTTACTAAAAATAAGTCAGTTATTTCGTAACTACCAACAAAATTGACAATTTTTTTAAATATTTTACAAAAATGTTTCAGCTGTTGAAAAAAACCTTGAACCGCCGACCATGACACTAGTGTCAATTTATTTCATCATACATATACTGGTGTACTTGTGTATATTTATAAATAATTGTCGTATCAAAGTCGGCATAAACTTTGCCGCCTTACCAAAATAGGAATTATAATCGAACTAACCTTATGTGATTAATATAATCGGTGTCACTGTGAGGTTGAGCGGCAAATTTGACAATCATTTATGGAGAGCTGTATTCAGTGTCTTTTTTTTTAATATTTACATTTTTCACATATCGCATAAAAAACTATATATGTAAATATTAAATAAGAACATCTTTTTACAGTGTAGGTCTCCCGTTTCCGTCTGCTTGTCTGTCTCCCGTCTGTCCGGATTTTTATTAGACAAATAATCTCCGAAACTACTGAACCAGTTGTTAGATGGGAAAACGCTAATCAAAATTTGGCTAATCATCCCTACTAACAATTTGTTGACGTCATCTCCAAAATTTACAGTAGTAAATATTATTTAAATTTCATAAAATAAGATATTCCGGCACATGTGTTTATGAACCCGGTTAAGTTTTTACCCTTGCATCCAAATTTTTGTAAAAAAAAAAACGTTGTATAACAATGTTTTACATTTTAATTTTGAAATTGCAAAAATCGAATGCTGTGGGATCATGAAGATATTTTAACATTGTTTTGTGTTCTTTCCTCTGCATTGAGGACACAAAATCAACCAAATTTCACTTTCTTTTAAGCGCTGATGCTTGTAATCAGAACGTGCTGAAAGTCGAATTCGGTCGAAGTATAAACATAAACAGTCGAAGTTAAGCATATATGTACTGAGAAATTGAGAGTGTCTTATTTTTTCCCGTTAGTTGTCTACTTTAACTTTTTCTTTTTGTCACTATTTTTTCCACTAAGCATAGTTTAAGAATTTTTTAAGTATGCGCAAGTTCAAAGTTAACAAAAATGAAAACCGAAAATCTCTTCTTGCTCAGATACATCAACCGCTTAAGCGACATGAACGAGACCCAACTCGTCGCTTTCTACGTCAGTAAGCTCGGCAAGCGCAAACAAGTCGTCCTCTACGCCAAACACTGCGAAAAAATCCTCACGCACAACGACCGCAAAAACGCGCTCAATTACGCCGAGCAATTCAACCTAGACGTCTACGCAATCAGCACACGAATAGTGGAAAGCATCACCAACAAACCGAGCGAAGTCGACGTCCCCGGAAACCTCCAGGTAACCCCAAACCCGCGCACTCCCCTCACCCACGTTTCAAATTTCAGAAAAAACTAACCGAAATCGACGAAATCAAAATCTCGTCTTTGGACTGGCTCATGTTCTACGAAGAACAACTAGCCGAAGCGCTCGCCCACACGAACACCCTCATCTTCAAGTTCCTCACTCTGGGGAAGCTTGAAGCCGCGCATTTGGCCATCGCTAAAATTCCGCACGATACAGTGGACAAGATTAAGAGCGAGGGGGAGGTTTCAGAGCAGACGGAAGAAATTATTAAGGATTATTTGAGTTATAAGGCGTATTTGGACGCTCAGGAGGGGTTCAATGAGTGGTTTAGGCAGTATAGGAATAAACCGACGCCGCCGCCGGAGCTTCCAGAGAGCGCACAATTCACGGAAAAAGTCGCTCATAAACATAAAGTTTCGCAGTTCAAAGCGGAGACCGAAAGGTGGAAATTAACGACTTCGCATTCGGCCAAAACTGCGAAAACGCTGTTGTATAATGTTTTGTTGTTCCCGCAGGGGTGGCTAGTGGGGGCAGAAGACGCTGAATATTTAAGGTCCGTTTGTATTCCAGAGGTGGTGTTGTTGCTGTATTCGGTTATAAGCGAGTCAGCAATGCACGAAGAGGCCGTTCAATTGTCGGATTTGGTAGCCGCAGAGAAATACGGGTTGTATAAGGTACGAATCTAGGGAATCGTCTGATTATTTTTGGTGTTCAATTTTTTTTTAGGTTTACTCGAAAGAGAAGTTGGGCGAACTTTTGGAGAAAATTTGTGAGAGCTCGGTTGCCCTTCTAAACGCCAAAAAAGACCCGTTTGGAAATCCATCTCGAGCTTAACCACTAGTTTCTTTCTATTTTAATAAATTCATACTTTTCTCGTGTGTGTTTGATCGCCATCGCGAAATCCCACACTTCAAATCCACAATCCTTCATTTATTATTATAATTTTTCCATTCCACGGCATTGTTCCGAGTGCAACGCCGCGGATTAAGACTTATTCAAGCGCACGCTATTTGTACTGATAAGATAACCCCAACAAAACATTTTTAAGTAGCGTGATTACTGTTATCACACATAATTATAGTCTTTTCCTGGGTGAGAGACCTTTCGGTTGTATCATCCCGCTTTTTAACTGTTTATTTTAAAACTGACCCGTTATCATCTGTACCGTTTTCGAACTGGACCTTTATCACCCGAGAACTCCAAGTCAATATCCTTGGAAAAATAATACCCGATTTCCGGTTCGAACGTCGGACGGAAGCGGAAAATTAATGATGGGGAGGTAGAGCGCACCTTTTCGTAAAAAATGCCAGCATAAAAGCGTCTCGTATCAAAGGCACAATCACGATTTCGAATGCGGAAGGAGACCTGTGGGAATAACTTTATTTAATTTATATTTGGGCGATTTTTACCGACGGCCCTCCGACACGCTATCTCTCCATCTTGAGGAGGATTTACTTTCTATCGCTTTTTATAGTGTGCGTTTTGATGTTTTCTCTTTCAACAGATGATCGTATCTCCGGTCCCTGCTTGATTGATGGTGCACGGGGGGACGAATAGTAGCAGGTGCGCCCGGTATGCACCCGGTTCACGATTCCGAATTGGCTTTGACTAATATTTTCGGATAATTTAACTTTCAAAGGAGAATTTTAAGATTTTTATGTTTAAATGATTATTACAACTATAACTATTGTATTTATGCTTTGATTTCCGAAATTTTAATCGATTACCGGTGTACGAGTCCACCATTACCAAATTTTTTAATGTCATATGACTCATATGTTACCTGTTTGTTAATAAAAACTTCTCAACTAAATTAATTTTACTTACTGAGCGTAAGCTAAGATGGCCACTTTTATGTTTTCTCGACGTTTAGTGACCCCTAGAGTACGAAAAAATAGGTCTTCGTTTGCGTCTGTCCGTCCCGTCTGCTGCCTGTCCGGATTTTTATTAGACAACTAATCTCCGAAACTAGTGGATTGTTGTCAAATTTTATATGGGTGTTAGGATTAACGTGTAGCAAAACTTGGCTAATCATCCTCACCAGCAGTAGGATATAATATAATAATTTTATAAAATAAGATACTAATGCATTTGTGATTTATGAATCCGTGATGAGTTGTTATCCTAGACATCCAGGTCTTTGAAAAGAAATCAAAATTGTGTAACATTTTGGTGTTTAACTTTGAAACTGCAAAACTTGAAATCATGAAATCTTTAAAGTAATAGAAAGATCTTTTCGATTTTTCGAACATTTGGTTCAATTTTCGACTTCTGGAGTTTTTTATTTTGATTTTTGATTTTTGGATTTTCCGATTTTCAGTTTTCGATTTTCGATTTTTCCATATGCGAATTTTGAATTGTTTTAATTTCGATTTCTCGATTTTTCAGGTTTCCATTTTTGGAATTTTCGAATTTTCGCTTTAAGAATGTCGATTTTTTCGACTTTGATATTCCGTTTTTTCTACATTTCGAATCTTGGATTTTTCAATTTTGCGGTTTTTCGATTTTTAGATTTTTAAATTGTCGGTTTCATTAACCGAATTTTGTATTTTTCGATATTCGATCTTTCAGTTTTTCAATATTTGAATTTCCAGTTTGTTTCCTTTTCGACTTGCTGATTTTTTAATTTTTCCATTCTTTGATTTTAAAAATTTTCGATTTTTCAATTTTTCCATTCCTCAGCTTTTAGATTTTTCAATTTTATCAATTTTTTTTCTTTTCGATTTTCAATTTTTCCATTCTTCAGTTTGACGATTTTTCAACATTTTTCCTTGGATTTTTTGATTTATCGAGTTTTTTATTTTTAGGTTTTTTGATTTCTCGAGGTTTATTTTCTATACTCGAATTTTCAGTTTTTCGGTTGTTCGATTTTAAGTTTTTCGAATTTTCGGTTTGTCGATATCAGAATATCCAAACGTTCTCTTCGATTTTTCAGTTTTCGAGTTTTTCACTTTCCGGAAGATTTTTGTTTTTTTTTTTATTTTGGAACATGCGATTTGTCGATATTCCGATTTTTCAAACTCTCAGTATTCCAAATTTCAATGTTTTCTACTTTTCGATATTGTGATTTTTATTTTTATTTTTTTTTTCAATTTTTCGATTTTTCAATTACTTGGTCCATTTTTCGATTTTAGATTTTCGATGTTTCGTTTTTTCTGTATTTCCTTTCTTGAACTTTTCAATCTTAGAAATCTCAATTTTCGGTTTTTCGATTGCCAATTTTTCATTTTTCAATTCTTTGATTTTTCAAATTTTTCGAATTTTCATTTTTTTTACTTTTCGAATTGCAATTTTCCCATTCTTTAGTTTTACGATTTTTCAACATTTTCACTTTGAGATTTTTTAATTTCTGGAGTTTTTTTACTTTTACGTTTTTTGATTTCTCAAGTTTTCAATTTTCCATACACGAATTTTCAGTCTTTCTAGTGTTTGATTTTTTGTTTTTCGAATTTTCGGTTTTTCAATCTTTACATTCTTCAGTTTTTCGATTTTTAATTTTTTTTACTTTTATTTTTGTGATTTCTCGGCTTTTCGATTTTTTGAATTTTCGATTTGTCGATATCAGAATATCCAAACTTTATCTTTTCGATTTTTAAGCTTTCGATTTTTTCACTTTCAGGAAGATTTTTCTATTTTTTTAATCAGGAACTTGCGATTTTCCGATATTCCGATTTTTAAAATTTTCAGTATTGCAAATTTCATATTTTCAATTTTTCGATATTCAAATTTTCATTTTTTTTTTATTTCAATTTCTCGATTTTTGAATAATTTGTTTATTATTATATAATATATTATTATTTTGTTTATTCTATATTTCCTTTCTCGGACTTTTGATATTTCGAAATCTCAATTTTCGGTTTTTCGATTTCCAATTTTTACATTCTCAAATTTTCGGTTAACACCGATTTTTCGGATTTTCGCTTTTCGAATATTTGATTAATCGAATTTTCGATTTTTCAATATTCGAATTTTCAATTTATTTCCTTTTCGATTTCCCGATTTTTTAACTTATTAATTCTTTGATGTTTCATATTTTCCATTTTGTGAATTTCCGATTTTTCAATTTGTCCATTCCTCAGTTTTTAGATTTTTCAGTTTTCTTATTTATCGATATTCGAATTTTCAGTTTTTTTACTTTTCGATTTTCAATTTTTCCATTCTTCAGTTTTCACTTTTTCAACATTTTTACTTTTAGATTTTTGATTTCTCGAGTTTTTTACTTTTAGGTTTTTTATTTTTGATAGTCGAATTTTCAGTCTTTCTACTGTTCCATTTTTAGTTTTTCGAGTTTTCGGTTTTTCAGTTTTTACAATCTTCAGTTTTTATACTTCACTTTTTTTACTTTTCGAATTTCAACTTTCCCACATTTCAGTTTTTCGATTTTTTAGTTTTCGTACGTTTCGATTTTTTCATTTCTCGGCTTCTCGATTTTTCGAATTTTCGATTTGTCGATATCAGAATATTCAGACATTCTCGTTTCGATTTTTCCATTTTCAAATTTTCAGTATTATAGATTTTATATTTTCGATTTTTCATAAATTTTAATTTCGATTTTTTGATTTCCAAGTTTTACATTTTCAAATTTTCGGTTTCCCATTTTTCGGATTTTCGTTTTTCCAATATTTTGATTGATCGAATTTTCGCTTTTTAAATTCTTCGATTTTTTCAAATTTTCGGTTTTTCAATTTTCCAATTTTTCCATTCTTCAGTTTTATTAAATTTTTTACTTTTCGATTTCTCGCTATTCAAATTTTCAATTTTTTTACTTTTTGATTTTCGATTCTTCCATTCTTCAGTTTTTCGATTTTTGAACATTTTTACTTTTCGATTTTTTGATTTCTCGGCTTCTCGATTTTTTCACTTTTTGGAAGATTTTTCTATTTTTTCGGTTTTGGAACTTACGATTTTTCGATATTCCGATTTTTCTAATTTCCAGTATTCCAGATTTCATATTTTCGATTTTTTGATATTCAAATTTTATTTTTTTTTTCAATTTCAATATCTCGATTTTTCGATTATTACATTTTTCGACTTTCGATTTTTGATTTTCGAAATTCGTTTTTTCTGTATTTTCTTTCTTGGACTTTTCGATTTTTCAAAATCTCAGTTATCGGTTTTTCGATTTCCAATTTTTAGATTTTCAAATTTTCGGTTTCCGATTTTTCGGATTTTCGCTCTTCAATTTTTTTACTTTTCGGTTTTTCGATATTCAACTTTTGAATTTTTTTACATTTCGAAGTTTGAATTTTTCCATTCTCAGTTTTTCGATATTTCAACATTTTTATATTTAGAGTTTTTGAATTCTCGAGTTTTCGATTTTCCATACTTGAAATTCAATCTTTCGACTTTCCAACTTTTTCTTTCGAATTTCGAATTTTTATTTTATTTTACTTTCCGATTTCTCTGCTTCTCGATTATTCGAATTTTCGATTTATCGATATCGGAATTCAATTCACATTCAAACTTTCTCCTTTCGATTTTTTCACATTCCGGAAGATTTTTATTTTTTCGATTTTGAAACTTGCGATTTTTCCATGTTCAAATTTTCATTTTTTTTTAATTTCAGTTTCTCAATTTTTCAATTATTCAATTTTCAGATTTTCGATATTTCGTTTTTTCTGTATTTCGTTTCTTGGACTTTTCGATTATTCGAAATCTCGATTTTCGTTTTTTCGATTTCCAATTTTTAGATTTTCAAATTTTCGGTTTCCGATTTTTCGGATTTTCGTTATTCGAGTATTTGGTTAAACGAATTTTCGATTTTTAATATTCGAATTTTCAATTTATTTGCTTTTCGATTTCCCGATTTTTCCATTCTTCAGTTTTTGGACTTTTAAATTTTTTTGCTTTTCGATTTTTCGATACTCGAATTTC